TCCCATACTTTTAGTCATTCCTTTCCTCCTAATATGTTGTCACGTGACACCAATATTCGCCATTAAGAAGGGTCTCACGTGACAAAAAATCTCCCCTGTCATCCTCATAAATATCACGTGACACCGCCCCTTTCCCATGGAAGGGCTTTCTGTTAGACTATGAAAAATCACTCATGTAATTATTATATCTCTCCACATTATCTCTCTCCACATTATCTCACTCCACATTATCTCATCTCTGTATAAAAATATTATCAGCTTCAGAAAAAAAGTTCAGAAAATAAACAATTAAAAACTATACCCTTTAAAGCATATGTATAATTTGATAGTCGTGTTATATTTTAATGGACGTACACCTGACTTTGAACGATTCAGCTTCGATTGTGTGTAGTCATGATTTTTACTGATTTTTGTGTTGCCTTTGATTTAATTTTGTTTTAGTGTTGGCTAATGTTAGAAACAGATCTTGTTTAATAATTACACAATTATTTAGTTTGATTGCCTTCTTTCTAATTATTTTGTACATTACTATTTGATAATAATTTTTTTATAAAATTAAAAAAAAAAACAACATTTAAATAAATCAAATGAAAAAGAGTGGATTTTGTGTAGATGACCAAGGGTATTTAAATATAATATTAAGAAAGAATTTTAAAAATAGTGAAAAATAATCGAGTTGCCTCTCTTGTGTATTTTCATCTTCGCCAAAAAACAGTCTTTAAAATTTTTATCTAAATGTAGTATCTGTAAAATCTGTAAAAAATCTTTCTTTTTAAGAAAAGACCCTGTACAAGTACAGGACTATTTAAAAAAAGAAAAAGTAGTAAATAAATGTAAATTCTTCTTGTGATTTTTTCTTGTAATAAAATGTGTGTCATCATAATCAGGAGAAATTTTAACACTTATTTACCTGTGTAAACATCAGGGACAGAGTCCCTGTTGGAGAGTATTCAAATCCACATTTTCTCGTTACCTAAAAGAACGAAATTATTATTATTATTATTATTATCAGTGGAGGTTTTATTGAGCGCGGTACCGTAGCCTAGGGCTGGGCTCACCACGCTGTACATACAATTTAACAAACATAATCATGAACTTAAAAATTAACATACATTAATTAAATTAAACAAAACAAATATTATATTCACTCAACACATTCCAGAACTATTTACGTGTCAAGCCATGGACGGCCACCCAGCAGCATCGTTAATTGGTCGGGGGGGGGGGAAGGGGGAGATCTGTCAGGAGAGTTTAAAGAGATGTGTTTTGAGTGCAGATTTGCTGGCTGTGTTGGTCGGTACGTGTCAAGCCATGGACGGCCACCCAGCAGCATCGTTAATTGGTCGGGGGGGGGGGGAAGGGGGAGATCTGTCAGGAGAGTTTAAAGAGATGTGTTTTGAGTGCAGATTTGCAGGCTATGTTGGTCGGTATATTGCGAATGAGTAGTGGAAGAGTAGTCCATTGTTTGGGGGGCACAGAAAGATAATAAATGATGTTTGTATCAATAAATGATGTAAGAGTCAAGTTTGTATCAATCAATGATGTAAGAGTCATGTTTGTATCAATACATGATGTAAGAGTCAAGTTTGTATCAATAAATGATGTGAATGCCTGCAGTGTACCCATAACCGATGTGGCAGATATGTTTGTATCAATAAATTATGTCAGAGACATTTGTGTACCAATAAATGCTGTTAGAGGTTCGTTTGTACATCTAAGTGATGTATTAATAAATAATCAAGGGATGCTTTTTACCAATAAATAATGTGATTTAGCCTATTGCAAACAAAATGTATACCATTTTTATTTTGTTATTGTTATAAATAGATCGTCCATTGCTTTTTAATGAGTGACAATCCGTCACAAGTAAAAAAAAAATAATAATACAGGGAAAAAAACATTTGAGAATTTTTTTGCAATTAAAAAAAACTTTCATTTTTATTGAATAGTTTAAACCTCTTGGGACGGATGGGCCGATCTATCAGCCCTTGGTGGAGAGGCGAAAAGACGGATGTCCGATCTATCGGCCCGATAATTCAAAGTCTAGAGATTGGCATGCTGGTCTTCGTACCAGGGAATCAGATTGTTTCTTACATATTCCTGCACGTCCCGGTATTGTAATGGTGGCCTGTGTTCATAGTTAACTAGCTATTTTTTTGTATTCCAGAATATTTTTTTTGTATCGCAAGTAATATCATAAAGTTCCAAAATGTCTGAGAGTGACACTGACCAAACTATGTTGATAAATTTGTAGACATTTATACTTGTTACCAAACAATCAAACAATTTATAAATACTCAGATTCCCATTTTGGAAACATTAATAATTAAACAGAAATCAATTTTATAGATTAGATCTAATTAGTATGAATAGCTTCAAAATCTAAAAGAAATATAATTTTTTTTAGTTGTACTCATCCTCATCACAAAAAAATGATACAACTATAACAATAAAGAAAAAAAAAGAAAAGAACAGATTCTGATAAAGAAAAAACTAATAAAAAGACATTAACATAATATAATTTTATTCAGTATGAAAATTATTTCTAGAAAAATTAATATTTATTAATTGCAGATTGCCATTCTGCCCAACTAAGATATCGTATCATCATTATTTTTCCTATTTCTGAAATCCTAAGATCACCGGTTGATCTCATCTAGAAGTGCATCAAGTAATTTGTTTAGTTGACCTATTTGTGCTGTTGGCCAAAGTGAGCCTATGTCAAGATATTCCTTCTAAAGACTGCATTGAAATAATTAATTTACGGCAATGGAAAATCCTTCAAAGCAATGCGTAACTTTTGGGGACCTTTCGGTAGCAGCATCACATTGATCGAAGTTTTAACTTTAAACTGTCTCTCTACCTATTGGAATTTAGTTGTAATATGAAAAAATAGGTCAGGAAAATAGGTACAAATATCCCTGTATTCCTTTTTTTTTTTTTTTTGGGGGGGGGGGGTGCAAAAATGGCTATTAACTTTTTTTTTGGTACAAATCATGCCACTGATTATTTCTTGATACAAACATACAGCTATATCTGTCACATCATTTACTGGTACAAACATATACCAATTATCATTTACTAGTAAAAACATAGTTGTCATATTATTTTTGGGTACAAACATAGGTCTAACATAATTTATTGTTTCAAAGGCAAATGCCTACGGATACATTAATTACAATTGAAGTTCAATGGCTGACTTCCAGATATGTTAGTTACCAAATAATGTTAATTTCTGACATCCAAATGTTAGTTACACTTTAAGTTCAATTTCTGACTGCCAAAATTTAAGTTACAATTTTTTAATATAATATTTTAGGTAATTTGCACAAACAGACTTCATATCTTTTTTTTTTATTTTCCTTTAAGCAATGTAACCTTTGTAAAAGAAATGTTTGTCTTTGTTACAGCTATGTTAACCTTTGTTATAGCTCTGTTAGCCCTTATTACAGCAATTTTAGACTTGGTTATAGCAATATTTTTCTTAGTTACAGCAATGTTAACCTTTTTTAAAGCAATTTTAAATTTTGTTATAGCAATGTTAGCTTTTGTTATATCAATTTAACATTTTCTACAGCAATATTAGCCTTTATTATTAGAATTTTTGCCTTTTTATATCAATTTTAGCCTTTGCTATTAAAATTTTACCCTCGATAAAATTGTTTTATCTTTCTAAAAGCAATGTTAACCTTTGTTACAGCAATGTTATCCTTTGTTACAGCAATGTTAACCTTTGTTACAGCAATGTTAACCTTTGTTACAACAATGTTAACCTTTGTTACAGCAATGTTAACCTTTGTTACAACAATGTTAACCTTTGTTACAGCAATGTTAACCTTTGTTACAGCAATGTTAACCTTTGTTAAAGCAACGTAAACCTTTGTTAAAGAAATGTTAACCTTTGTTACAGCAATGTTAACCTTTGTTACAGCAATGTTAACCTTTGTTACAGCAATGTTAACCTTTGTTACAGAAATGTTAACCTTTGTTACAACAATGTTAACCTTTGTTACAGCAATGTTAACCTTTGTTACAGCAATGTTAACCTTTGTTAAAGCAACGTAAACCTTTGTTAAAGAAATGTTAACCTTTGTTACAGCAATGTTAACCTTTGTTACAGCAATGTTAACCTTTGTTACAGAAATGTTAACCTTTGTTACAGAAATGTTAGCCTTAGCCTTTTGTTGACAAGAATCCTTGTGGTGTGTTGTTGGTGCTGTAATAACCGCTTATTTATTTGTTTTCATAAAGATATCTAAAGCACCGAGTCATCGCATCACTGACTTTGTTTTCTCTGTGTTCAATATTTTAAATCTTTTTTTATATCAAAACACCATTTCCTTGTCGACTCTTTGAAATTCCACAGCCTATAAGGAAAAAGATAGAACATTTTTTTTTTTAAATTTACATTTATTTCACCTCTATTCATGAAATTATTAAAACTTATTTTTAGGGAAGATCCGTTGTCGATATTAGTTTTTTCTCCAAGAATAAAAGCACTCAAACCAATTTTAAAACAAAAATTGCAAGGACAACTAAATATCTAGTCAAAGATTTAAAAAAAAAAATTCACACCCTTAGTTGCCTACTAAAAAGGAAAGAGCGCATCCTTTTGAGATGGGTTGCATTTTGTCATTGTGCACTGAAGTAGATCAATTTCCTGGCCAAAATGTAACTTTAAATCATTTCCATATGTTGGCCTATCTATTTTTAAAACCTGTATAACACACTTAAAAGAATAAGGTGCCAGGCCAGACGTCTTTTGTCTTTAGACGTGAAACGAAGACAATTCTTAGTTAATTAATTTATTGATCTTAATGGATTATTTACCATATCTATTATGATAGGCTAACGTACTTTACTTATATTTATAGGCTACCGTACTATAGTTATAAGATAGTGTACACTATTTATAGATATAGGTTATAGTAATATAGTTATTATTGTTATAGGCTATCGTACTATAGTTATAAGATATTTTACAATAGTTATAGACATAGGTTACCGTACTATACTTATATTTATATGCTATCGTACTATAGTTATAAGATATTGTACAGTAGTTATAGATATAGGTTATAGTACTATAGTTATCATTGTTATAGGCTATCGTACTGAAGTCCTATTTTTAGGCTATTGTACAATAGTTATAGGTTATCGTACTATAATTAATGTTATAGGCTATCGTTCTATAGTTATAGGGTATTGTAATATAATTAATGTTATAGGCTATCGTTCTATAGTTATAGCGTATTGTAATATAATTGATGTTATAGGCTATCGTTCTATAGTTATAGGGTATTGTAATATAATTAATGTTATAGGCTGTCATTCTAAAATTATAAGCTGTCGTCCTGTATAGCTGTAGGCGTATGCCTTATACTATTGAAAATCTAATGAAATTTATCTTGAATAAATAATTTTTTTTGAAAAATATAATTATTTAATTTGAATTTTGAATCATTTTTCTCTGTTGATCTTATGTTATCAATGAACATATTTACGGACCATAAGTAGACGCCTGACTGACACTAGGATTTTGTAGGGTTCTTTCGACTCAACACAGACAATGGAAATGAGGCAGCCATATCAGTTTTCATGTATTCCTAGTGACAGTGGGGTAGGCTATAGCCACACATTAAAAAAAGGCGAAGACGACGATACCCACTATGGCGCCAATTAGCATTGTGTTTTCTTTGCGAAGACGACGCTACCTATTTTAGCACCAATTAGCATTGTGTTTTCTTTGTAGACGTGATTCAGCGTTCACTGTGGAGATGTGTTTCGTCTTGGTAAAACTGACGTAATGTTATTTGCCAAAGTTGTGCCTGCTCAGTGTGAACACTTACGTGCATTACTCTTTCTCACCATGGATTAACCCCGTGGCGTAGCTAGGGGGGGTGGGGGGTGCGGTGGTGCGGACCACACCGGGTGACACCATATCAGGTGTGACACCAAATTGAAAAGCTGCATAATTATAGAGCACGCACTGCTGCTCGGTCTAACCGAATTTCATTATAAAAAAAAGATAACCAACACACTTAAATTGTGCGCACGTGTGACAAGCCAAATGAGTGCGTTATTAAAATGTCTAGGCTGATGCGTCAGAGACGAGGTGACACTACAATGAGGTCAGAAAAATGCAGTTTTGGTCATGATTCAACGCCGACACAAGTGTTCGGTACCATATTTTGATGGTATGTTTATCTAGAGTCTGAGAAATAAAGCTTGCCAACACGATGTGGTCGGGCGATTCTCAGTGCATGTTACAGTACTGAAATACATGACCGCCTGGCCTTCAATTACTATCTGTGTTCGTGCTTGCCATTGTTACACTGTGGCCTTAGTTTAACACTAAAAAGTGAATCGTTGAGGTCGATGGGACGGGACGAGGACGGGGTGACACCAGCCCTAGCTACGCCACTGGATTAACCACTGAGATTTTACTGGCAGCCACAGCCAAGCCGCAGTTTAAACATACATTTACATTACAGGCCATCTGTTACATACATTACAGGCCATCTGTTACATCCCCTGTGCTTTATAAAGGGGAGCTCACTGTGCATTTTTTCCCATTTCAAACTTTCTGTTGTCCTCAGCGTTTTTCATTGTTTTCAGATAATCGATATCCCAGGAAGAATAATCTCCTTGAAGCAACAACATGGCAAGAGAAAGAAAATAAAATGATTTTCCAGCTCGGCTTTTATGAGATTATGTCCACTTTTTCAAGAATTTTTTTTTTTTGGGGTAAAGGGAGAGGATAATATGATATTTATAAAGACTAACCACATTTTGATGGTGGTCGCACAGGACTGGGGAGGGGGGGGGGATAATATGATGCTTTTAGAGACTAACCATATTTTGGTGGTGGTCGCACAGGACTGGGGGGGGGGGAGGGGGATAATATGATGTTTTTAGAGACTAATCATATTTTAGTGGTGGTCGCACAGGACTGGGGGGGGGAGGGATAATATGATGTTCTTAGAGACTAATCATATTATGGTGTTGGTCGCACAGGACTGGGGGGGAGGGGGGAAATAATATGATTTTAAAACAAATCTTCAAGGTCATAAAGGATAAGAGCGCCCTCTATTAGAACTAAATTAAAAATATACCGCTTCAGAAACTCAGAATTTGAGAATCATTGAATCAGAAAATCCTCTGTGGATAAGACATAAGCTACTCTTTCGAAAAAAAAGTTAATCCATCAGTGAAGTCGATAAAGTAAATATAAAAGTTGTCGATAAAGTAAATATAAATAAAGTCGATCAAGTCCTGAAGTTATCCTACATATTTAATCCAAACACACGTTCGTGGACCGTGACGAACTTCCGGGAAACGAGTGCATACATGGTTGTTTATTGGTCATTCCATCGAAAACAGTTGTCTCCAATATTTTTCTAGCAAGCACCAATTAATTTAATTTAAAAGACGAAGCATTACGCACAAGACAATCACATGAGTTTTATCAAATAGATATTTTGGAGATAATAGAGACATTATTAATGGAAGTATACGCTAACACTTGCCCGTCCATCAGAGTTAAACTAAAGCATCTATGGCTAAAACTTTCCCGTCCACCAGAGTTAAACTAAAGCACCCATGGCTAACACTTGCCCGTCCACCAGAGTTAAACTAAAGCACTCATGGCTAAAACTTTCCCATCCACCAGAGTTAAACTAAGGGATAGGCGAGATGAACGACAATGGTGAGAGGTTAGCGGACTTATGTGCCACAGCTGACCTGGTCATAGGGGGGAGCATTTTCCAGCACAAGAGGATTCACAAAGCTACATGGGTCTCTCCGGACATGAGAACGATGAACCAAATAGACCATGTATGTATTTGTAAAAAATTCAGGCGATCTCTCCAAGACGTACGTGTTAAGAGGGGAGCTGATATTGCCTCAGATCATCATCTTCTTGTGGCCAGGATGAAATTAAAACTAAAGAGACATTATACAGAGCAAACAGCATACAGGACTCGGTATAATACCTCCCTCCTGAAGGACCAAGCCAAAAAGGAAGAATTCAGAATCTCACTATTCAATAAGTTCCAAGTCCTACAAGAAATACTTGAAGATGAAACCACCGAAGGAAAGTGGCAAAGCATGAAAGAAACAGTCCAGTCAACATGTCAAGAAGTGCTAGGAAACAGGAAAAAGGCACACAAAGAATGGATGACAGCAGGTACGCTGAATAAAATAGAAGAAAGGAAAAGAAAGAAATCAGAAGTGAATAACAGCCGCACCCGAGCACAGAAAAACAAGTCCCAGAAGGAGTATGCAGATGCAAATAAGGAAGTTAAGAAAAGCATCAAGAGGGACAAGAAGGAATTTGTTGATAAACTTGCTAAAGAAGCAGAGGATGCAGCTCACCAGGGGAACATGAGGGAACTGTTTGATACCATTAAGACGCTGTCAGGGAAATTTAGCAAGGTAGAGAGACCAGTGAAGGACAAAATGGGAAACACCATACCAAGTGAGGAGCAACAGAGAGGGAGATGGAAGGAGCACTTTGAAGAGCTCCTGAACAGGCCTGAACCAAGAAATCCACCAGATATCCAACCAGCCGATAATGACCTGCTAATTGACTGTAATAGTCCCACCAAAGAAGAGATTAGCAGGGCCATTAAACAACTCAGAAATGGAAAGGCTGCGGGACCTGATGGCATCCCAGCAGAGGCACTGAAGGCGGACCTGGAAACCAGTGTGGAAATGCTACACCCTCTGTTTATGAAGATATGGGAAGAGGAGCAAGTTCCTTCCGATTGGAAAGAGGGATACCTTATCAAGATCCCAAAGAAGGGAGACTTAAGCTCCTGCTCGAACTACAGAGGGATCACCCTGCTGTCCATCCCAGGAAAGGTTTTCAACCGTGTACTACTTAACAGGATGAAAAACGCTGTAGACCCTCTGTTGCGGGACGAACAAGCCGGCTTTCGCACCAACAGATCCTGCACGGACCAGATAGCGACACTGCGCATCATTCTAGAGCAGTCACTAGAGTGGAACTCGCCGCTCTATGTCAACTTTGTTGACTATGAAAAAGCCTTCGACAGTGTTGACAGGCAAACCCTGTGGAGATTGCTAAGGCATTACGGGGTGCCACAGAAGATTACTGATATAATCAGAAACATGTACGAAGGGATAAACTGCCGAGTTATCCATGGCCAGCAGTTGACAGATGCTTTCCAGGTGAAGACTGGTGTGAGACAAGGTTGCTTGCTGTCACCATTCCTCTTCCTGTTAGCCATTGACTGGGTGATGAAAACATCTACACAGCAGAAAAGAAATGGCATCCAATGGACCTTGTGGGATCAACTGGATGATCTTGACTTTGCTGATGATCTTGCACTTCTTGCACATACCCAACAACAGATGCAGGAGAAAACAAACATTGTCGCAGCCACTTCTGCTAGCATGGGTCTCAACATTCACAAAGGGAAGAGTAAAATCCTCAAGGTTAATGCCACCAGTACATCACCCATTATGCTTGAAGGAGAAGCCCTTGAAGAGGTGGACAGTTTTGTTTACCTTGGCAGCATGGTAGATAAACAAGGTGGTACAGATGCGGACGTCAAAATAAGGATAGGAAAAGCAAGAGCAGCCTTCCAACAACTCAAGAATGTTTGGGTCTCTAACAACTTAGGCAGCAAGTTAAAAGTAAGGATTTTTAACGCTATGGTAAAACCTGTGCTGCTATATGGAGCCGAGATATGGAGAACAACGGCCGTAAACCTTACCAGAATCCAGTCCTTCATCAACAACTGTCTAAGAAGGATTCTCAGAATTCACTGGCCAGACAAAATCAGCAACCAGGAACTGTGGCAGCGGACTAAACAGAAACCCATTGAGGAAGAGATTCTCCAGAAGCGGTGGAGGTGGATTGGTCATACACTAAGAAAACCTGCTTCTAACATAACAAAGCAAGCCCTGAAATGGAACCCACAGGGTAAGCGGAAAAGAGGCCGTCCAAGAAACACTTGGCGCCGAGAATTGGAGACAGACATCAAGAAAATTGGCCATGAATGGAAGATCCTAGAGATGCCTGGAGGTCTCTCGTAGGTGGCCTATGCCCTTGGAGGAACCGCAGACGCCGACGATGATCGGTGGATGCCCCTCATGGACGAGAAGGCTCAACAACAACAACAGAGTTAAACTAGAGCATCTATGGCTAAATCTTTCCCGTCCACGAGAGTTAAACTAAAGCACTCATGGCTAACACTTGCCCGTCCACCAGAGTTAAACTAAAGCACTCATGACTAAAACTTTCCCGTCCACCAGAGTTAAACTAAAGCACTCATGGCTAACACTTGGCCGTCCACCAGAGTTAAACTAAAGCACCCATGGCTAACACTTGCCCGTCCACCAGAGTTAAACTAAAGCACTCATGACTAAAACTTTCCCATCCACCAGAGTTAAACTAAAGAATTCATG